AAAGGGGATCAGTGATGGGAGAAGTCTGGAGGCTGCCATTGCTAAGCTCTTTCTGGAAATGCTGGTTGCCAGTGACAACAGGGAAAAGACACACGCTGTTGTGGGTCAGTAACTCAAGCAAGGGGGTTAGAGTGGCAGCAAATGCATCCTCCATATATTGTATTCCTTATGACAGGAACACTTAAAAAATTGAATATTCATGACAAAATCGAATGCACTAACCTGGCCAATGATGTGTAATGGAGGAAGTCCACCAAAGACACCAGCTTCCCCCTCCCCCCGTCCTCCAGAAGGAAGGACAGTGTCAGAGATGATTGGAGGATCTACAGCCGAGTGACACACAAATCAGATACATTGTTGTTCATAGTTGAGGGACTTGAATGGATTTTTAAGATTTAAGTCCCGAGTTTAGTGTCACTTTAAAGCTGCCCATACACCTGACGAGTAATCGTACAATAATCGCAAGGTTGATGGGGAGCTCGCGACCGCATTTACTGTAAGGTCGTACGATTTCCGGCGGGTTGGTATCGCGATCGCAAGACGAAAGACACAATGCCCGCTCACCATGGCAATCATCTGCATGCCCTCCCCTCAGCAGGGAGGGCTTGCGATGATCACAAGTACGATCTGCCTGTCCATGATGGGCGGGTCGTACGAAATTTGAATTACCTTACAACCATCGCACAACGAAATTCGGCCGATATTTGTAAGGTGTAATGGGCAGCTTAAAGCTCGGGAGGACGCTAGTTTGTGTCCTCCCGTTGCCCTAAGGAGAACTATGGGGGGAAACACTGACCCCATAGTTCTCCTTTAAGTCATGTTGCTGTGGGCTATATCAGGTCTTTCCTCAGTGAGAACAGCGATTGCTGTGCTAATGATACAATTGAATGTACCTGCATGTAATAAAGGAAATTCCTGAACACATGACCTGTTGGGGTATTTGAGGTGTGGTGTGGAGTGGGGGAGGGGCAGTGTTCATCTGAGCTAGATATGATGGTGGTTACAGAGGATCCAGTCTGAAGACACAACCTGAGCGGGTCTCCTGCAGTAGCTGACGGTCCCTGCGGGCTCTGCTGAGTGATCTGGTTATCTGATTTTATATACATTTCTTGTCACGAGGTAAGATACGTTTGCACTGTGTGGTTAAGTTCGTGTTTTACTGCACATTAGTGATGGGTGAATCTGCTTGTTTTAGATTTGTCGGCAGGTTCGGTGAATGTGTCCAAAAATCTGCACATTGCAAACTTTAATATGAACTCCATAAAATGTCAATTGCCCTGGAATGCAGGACATTGCTGTAACATGCATTCTAGTGTGGGCAATCTAACTGCGGGGGCGGGAGGTGTCTGTGGTGCCACTGATATGAATGTTACCACATGTGCCCCCCTCCCTCCCTTCTGCCCCAGAACACGAGAGGCTTGCTTTATGCAATTTTAGGGTTGCCACCTGTCTGGGATTGACCCGGACAGTCAGGTTTTTGGAAAATGGTGCCCAGGTTAGATAGCGCCTGAGACCCGGACACAGCACGTCAGGCAGACGGGCATCCAATATACAGAAATCTGTCTCCCCTGCAATAGCCATTTTCTGTTAGTCTCTCTTCATAGAGCTGTGTGCAGATTGGTCTCTAGCAAAATGGCCGCTCCTGCTGATCTTATAAGAGTGGAAACTGGAGACACTGACCTAAAAGGGCTCCGCCTCTACCGTATGGGTTTTTTGTGGCTGGCTCGGGACTCTCCCTTGTGGGTGTCAAGGAAGTGGGAGAGAGGTGCTGTATCCATGGCACAGTCAGCTGTCAGTGTGCAGACCTCCAGGGACCCACCCATTAGGGTTGCCCCCTGTCTGGGACTGTCCAGGTATAGAAGGCGGTGTCCTGGTTAGAGTCCACCTGACAGCGTGCACATTCTTGGTGAGAGCCCACACAGGCCCCTTGAGACCCTAGAGGCATCAGGCTGCCACCCCCGGAGCAACAGAGTATTCAGCTTCATATAGTTTTGTATTGCTGGGATTTGTAGTCCTCTATAGCCGGTCTCCTGTCTCTCTCCTATAGTCTCCCCTCCCCCGCACAAAAAATTGCCCCGCGCGGCGTTAGAATGTTAGGGTTGCCACCTTTTCTACAAGTGAAACCTAATGTGCGTTCTGGAGCCCTGCTGCAACACACTGGATATGGTGAATGGAGATTTGTCAAACAAAGGGCAAGGGAACCGGTTTGGAT